TTCTGCAAAAGGACGCAGAAAACAAACACCTGTTTGACAGATATCGAGCTGAAGATATTGCCGAAAAGTACGGACATGCAGCTTCCTCCATATCACTGCGAACTGAATCCGATTGAATTGATATGGAGTCAGATAAAAGAGCGTGAAAATAAGACTTTCAAATTAAATTATGTAAAAACTCTTGTTATACAAGCCATGAACAACACAACTACTCAAAATTGGGTAAACTCTGTAAATCGTGTAAATTCAGTGGAGGACGAAACGTACAACAGCATTCCATGAAGTTGCTAAGTTAGAGGGGGGTATAAACCTAGGAATTTAAATTCAGTTTCAATGAAATGGGCGGTCCGGTACCATTTCATTCACGGACCGGGGGTTGGGGAACACTGATTTAGGGTACCATAGTCGAGAAGACAACGGAAACAACTGGTATAAAAAATATAAATTGGATTTTTTTTTAACAGATTTGTAAAGATAAATTGTGAAAGCTAAACTTTCATGATCTCCTGGCACGCAATGGGTTGTTGCTGGAATGCTCTACTTTAGTTTCTAACAACGTTTGACTTCGCTACATTGAGTATATATGGTTCGTAATAAGCGTAGTATACCTGCCACCGGCTCTTGTGCCATTAAAATACCCAATTCACTAACTTAACTGAATGGGTAGATGGATGAAGGTGGTATGTAACATGAAAAAGATTCTGAGATGGTTGACTGCAAATAAGTCCTTAATTACGTCAAAAATGGTACGTCAAAAATTTCATGGAATTACTTTGCAAAGCAATATAAAAAAAATAACACAAAATATATAAGATAAGTTTAATATCTTTTTATCCAATCATCAGATTTTAACGTACTAAGGTTCAATTTCAATGGTTTAAAGGACTCAACTTTAAATACGCTAGTTGATTAGTGAGGACGTGTATCGCTTTAAGAGAATCAAGAAAATTTTGCACGAAATCGTAAAATTCGTTTAACCAAAGACAATTTTATGCAGAAAATTAATTTTCATAACTGGAGTTTTTCTGCTATTATCTACTATTACCTTAATCTGTAAAAATAGTTAAATTAGGATTCAAAAATTTTTACACCTTTTTTAATTTATGTAATTTTAAGTGACTAAATCCAAAATCTGAAGGTAATCAGTTGAATAGTTCTTGAGAAATGAAATTTTAAATTCTATTTGAGATGGTGAAATACGCGAGCAATCAAATTAACATTGCGTGGTCCAAACATTCGACTGCTATTCTGTCCAAATTATTGGAATCATGTTTTTGAGACTGCGGCTACCCTCCATATTTAGAGGATCAAGAATTCGAATCTATCAAAAAAGAAGAAAAAATTATAGTTCTTCAGAGAAAGTACGTTTTTGTGCCAGATTTCGTAACTTAAAATATCGTCTGCAGAACCTCATAAGCATATTTGAGGTCAGCCTCCCGAACCATTAAAAAGATTGCGTCCTGGTACAGGAAAATCGAATCATTAAATCAAAAATTATTCAGGGTGTTCCATTTTTCATTTTGCTCACTATACTTCCACAAAAATGTGAAGCACTCAAAGCTAAATTACATCAAGTTGGAAGATATAAAATTACATTTGTTGTGGTTAATGGTAAAATTGGTGCATTGACTTTTTTTTTTTCACGAAACAAAATGCCTAAAAATGTTCGTAAAATTATTTTTGAATAAGAATAAAATCATATGCCTTCGAAATTGTTATTGTAATATAGTTTATTATTGTAAATTTTTTATAAAGTTATAATGGAGTTTTTTTTTCTTATTCTTTCAGGATTCTTTCTTAAAAACCCGGGTTTCTACCAATCCTGGTTAATGGTGTATATTTTCGGAGCCAGAGTGAATATAGCTGTCTTAATTCACTATAGAATTAAACTAGAGTTAATAAACTTTAACCTTAATTGTCTCATAACCGAAAATTGATTAATTATGGATTAAAATTAAGCCAATCTTTTGACTTGATTCACTTTAGCTTCATATGCGTTCAATGATATTAGATATTTCCCAAATAAAATTAATTTTATTGCAGAAAAAAATAAACGCAGTGACACATAATGGTCAGTTTTAAAAGAATAAATAAAATTTTAAAAAAATCTCACATTAAAATCTTATTTTAATTAATTAGTACGCCTTCCTCGTTAAGCACATTGTACCTAATTCTGATTTTTTAGCACACAACTTATGTTTTCAATATTTCATAAATAATTTAATTAGGTATAAATAAATAAATAACTTATTAAAGAAAAGATAATGCATAGCAACTTTTATTTTTTGTCATTTTTAAAAGAATAAATTCTAAAAAAAACTGCAGAATTCAGGAATTTTCTTTAACGAATTAATACCTTATTTTTGATGGAAAAAAAACATGCCGTGACCAGGATTCGAACCTGGGTTACCAGGTGCGGAGAACCAGGGTGGGAATCAGTATTCGAACCTTATTTTAATTTATTAATATGCCTTCTTAGCTATTTTAATTTATTAGTACGTCTTCCTCTTTAAACACATTGTACCTTATTCTGATTTTTTAGTACGCGACTTGTGTTTTCAATGATATTTCATAAATAATTTAATTAAGTACAATAGATGAATAATTTATTAAAAAAATGCACAGCAACTTTTATTTATTTGTCCTTTTTAAAAGAATAAATAAAAAAAACCTGCAGAATTCAGGAATTTTTTGTGGTGAATTAGTATCTTATTTTAGCTGGAAAAAAACATGCCGTGACCAGGATTCGAACCTGGGTTATTGCGGCCACAACGCAATGTACTAACCACTATACGATCACGGCCACGACAAGGTAACAACTTTAAAGGGTTTTATCGTTCTGCTCCATTTATCGAAAACTAGTTCTGAAAGATGTCCCACCCCGATTGATTTATCTGCTAGTAGGTAAGAAGCTAAAAGGTAATGAAGTAAAAGCGTTTAAAATGTTCATTTAGTTATTTTTGTGCTCCCACTTTCTCACTAAAACATGTAAATTTTTCATAAAGCATTTTTCCAGTTTTTTTAATTTTCATGCCTGCATGTTTCTAATTATGAGTAGAGGAAGTAGAGAATGAGGAATAGCATCGCCATATTGGATTTTAAATAAAATGGTTAATTTGTGTTTTCTTGAAATTTTTTTACTTATCAAGCTTCTGATTATATTGTATTATTAGACAGCACAATACCTTTAAAAAAAAAAGGTTGAAAATAGAGATGTTGCATTATTAGATTAGGAGAAATAGCACTAAATAATTTTTAAAACTTGTATGTATTTTTCATCAAAACTTTCAGTCAATAAAATGATGCGTTTTGAGTAAATAATTTAAAACTACACTTTCACTGTTGTTATTTTTTTTTATTTTTTAATCTAACTTTATTACGGTTTAAACTGATAAAAACCTATTTGGATGTCGTTAAAAAATTATTTTAAAGACACATAAAAACAAAGATATTTATCAAACAAAAAACAAAGACGCTCAAAAATCTAAAAACATGCGAGGCAACTGTACACTATTTAACTATTTATCAAAAACTGTCGATTGCAGAATTGTATTGTATAATTCCGTCAGAAAAAAAAAATAAAGAATCTAAAATGACCCGCGATGACTCAGGGGATAGAGCTTTCGCCTTCCAAAGAGGCGAACCGGGTTCGAACACCAGTCGATACGAACTCCGCTTCAGGCTTGCACCGACCACAGTGCTGACGTGAAATATCCTCAGTGGTAGACGGATTATGGGGTAGAGTCCCCTTGCCATCAGGGTAACCTTTGGAGGTTCCCGTGGTCTTCCTCTCCATGTAATGCAAATGTGGGTTAGTTCCATCAAAAAGTCCTCCACTCAGGCAAATTTCTCCCACTACTCGATCCAGATGTTCCCTTGTCTCCTGGATTGGGTTCAAAATTACAAGGCTACGGAGTTGAACATTAGTAGTCGTAAAGCCATAAAATTGGGTCGACTGTTCGGCGACGATTACAAAAATAAAATAAAAGAATCTAAAATACCTCACGCTTTGTATCTCAAATTTTCATTGGGTAGCGACTTGGCGTTTTCCATGTATCGAAAAATAATGGCAATAAGATCCAATAGTTTATTCGTGAAAATTAAATAAAAAGGATTAAAAGCATTAATTAAAAGCATAATTAGAATTTTCCCTTCTCGTCTCCACCCCTTCGACGGCTGAATTTGGTCTGAAGAGTTTACTTTTAAAGTCATGTCAATTTCTTACTAAATTAGCATGTTTCTAAGAATTTTACTTTCAAGCCTGCACGTTTCTATGCATTTAATTATGATGAAATGGATAATAACAATTTTTCTTAAGGAACTAGGAGACTCTGAAATTAATATTGTATTTTATAGATTTTCAGACATCTCTAATCAATTTTTTAATTGAAATAAAAAAGTTCAAATGAATTATTTGAACTTGATTTGAAAAGTTCAAATTTGAACTTCACTTGAAAAGTTCAGTTGAAGTGTAATTGGAAAGTTCAAATGAATTATTTAATTGGTAAAAAGTTCTTAATGAATTATTGTGCATTTATTATTTGAAATCAAAGCATTATTTCAGTCGATATTCATTTAATAGATGTTAAACAAGATAAATTTGACATCAAAAATTTCAAAAAAATAGCAAACATTAAATTCTTTGGTTATTTTTAGAAAATTAAAAATGTTCTTAAAAATTTGCGAATATTTATTCTCAATTCTGAAAATGTTTTCACAATTGATAAAGAAAATTTATCAAGCACATGCGAAAATATAAAAATGCTTTAACTAGTTCAAAATTAATTAAATTGAGTGTGTAAATAATGTTTATCTATGAAAAAATAGCAGTATCGTCCAATTTAAGCCATTTGTCAATAAATAATGCGTAAATGATATCCTAAACCTATGTTAATATTCAACTTTATATCGCTATTTTTTTGAACCAATAGCTGAATTCCTTGCATTTAAATATTCGGGAATTTCTATTATTTTATGGGGCAGAAAAAATTTAACAAAAATTCATTTTTTAAATCCAATTTTTAATACTTTTATCACACCATACAAATTGTCCTCGTGGAATTGTGATATTTGGCGGTAAAAGGGCACAGTAAACAGGAACAATGGCTCCTGAAAAAGATAAAAACTAGTTCATTCAAAACTATTTTTAATTCTGATTTTTATAGCGCAATATAACGCTTTAAATTTGATGCATTTCAAATTATAATGTAATATTGTTCGTTAACTACTACACAAAACCTAAATTAGCTTCGAACTTCTATGTTAAAAAAACAAGAGACATAAAATAATTACATTTCATTCATTTCAAATTCTAATGAGCTAATAATGATCATACAGTAAATTTAAGTGGTAACATGTAATTTACATTATTCTTTTAACTTTTTAATTCAAAAGCATCAATCATGTTAACTTCAGTTTCCTTTGGTTTCTCAAATTTTTATTTAAATCTCATTTTATCTTAAAGCCTTCTAATAATTTGTCTTTATAAATTAACTAAACTGTAAAATTTTCATACATTTTAAAATAAATTTGGGAAACTGACATAAAACATTATCTCTCTTTTGAGATTGAAAGAATAATGGAAAAGCGTTATTTATGAACGCATAATGTTATTTATATCTGTCAAAACAGACATAAAACATTGCCCTTTTTTTGAGATTGAAAGAATAATGGAAAAGCGTTATTTATGAACCCATAATGTTATTTATATCTATCTAAACTGACATAAAACATTACCTCGTTTTTGAGATTGAAAGAACAATGGAAATGCGTTATTTATTAAAGCATAATGCTATCTATATCTGTCTAAGCTGACATAAAACATTGCCTCTTTTTTGAGATTGAAAGAATAATGGAAATGCATTATTTATTAAAGCATGATGCTATCTATAGCTATCTAAACTGACATAAAACATTACCTCGTTTTTGAAATTGAAAGAATAATGGAAATGCATTATTTATTAAAGCATAATGCTATCTATATCTGTCTAAGCTGACATAAAACATTACCTCTTTTTTTTTTTTAAACCTCTTTTATTAATGCATTCTACATCTGTTTTTAATTATTAAAAAGTCTGTTTGGGGTATCATTGTCAATAAATAATCAGCGTATCTGAGGAATTTATTCATTATTCCAAACTTCAATAGCAGTCATACAGAAATAAAATGCGGTTTACGCATAAAAAATTATTTGATTAAAAGAATAGTAATAAAAAACTAATTTTTCTGAAATTAATTAACTGTGCTCCTTGTGGTATTTGTTGATGGATACTTAAAGTAAGGAGCGCCTTTGGTAGGTGCCTAAAAAATCGATTCACACGTTTGAATTCTCTTAATTTTTTTGTGACGTCGTGTTAAAAACATTGTTTGTGAAAAAGTTTTTTTAAGAAAATCATACAAATAGTTATTTTCAGTATTAAGCAGCAAATATTGAAAAGTTCTTGAACAAAAATATTGTACGGACCGTAAATTAGTCCATACATCGTTTGTGTTTCAAGTTTCTGCTGTCGCCATCTAGTGTATGTTTTTATAACTAGAATGTAGCGAAAGAACGATTTAGTGTGAACTGCTGTGTTGAACGAAACAGAGATGCGAGAGCTCAGTTTCCTACCCGGTAGACCTGAAAATAGTGCTCACCACTCACCACGAGGAGAGTCAACAAAAAAAGCGGCTACTTAAATTAAATAAACAGTTGATCACTTTTTCCCATTTTTTTTCTTTGAAAATTGTTGAATGGTAAAAGTACATCAATGCAGAAATATTCTGGAAAGCAGAATTTTCATTAAAATGCCAATTATCTCCATTGAAAATTTTGATCTTTTAGAATCCATCAATTTTTGGATTTGATATTTGATGGAAAGATTCATATCGTAGGTGAGTTCTTTATCAATATTCAGATTTGTAATGCATATGTTACAGTCAATGACGTCAATCAAGAGAATGTCGACTTTTACCGGTGAATGTCAACAATCTCATAGTCGCTTTGGTGAATGTCCGAAATATTTGTTATATCCAATTTGATATTAATTTATTCGTTGAAATTATAAAATTTATTCGATATTTTAATATCTGCTAAGGNAAATGCTGAAAGAATTTTTCCAAAATATCAAAATGCGAAAAAGTTATTGGCAAATGAAGCTCCCATAGAAAAAGCATTAGCAGCTGGTATTGAGAGGGTAGGTATTGCGTCCTCTTAACTAGACCTAATATATAATTCGGACAATTACCAAAGTGACTATGTGATTGTCAACATTCACCGGTAGAAGTCAATTCAGTCACAGTAATATACACATTAAATGTGTTTTGCCTTCTCAACTTTTTATAAAAAAAATTCTTTAAAATCTTAATTTCTTACCCAAATTTTAATTTTTAACTAAATTTTATCACATTTTTAACTAAATTTTGTCACATTTTTAACTAAATGTTGTCACATTCTTAACTAACCTTTGGCGCAGTCTTAACTAAATTTTGCCACATTATTTTTTTACTTTTGTTATATTATTTTTTTCGGTGCATGAAATTTTTCTATTGTAGATTATTTTAAATACGATATGTATTTGCAAAAAGTGGCTATTGAATTAAAAAGGACCTATCGATTCCGGCCACCGAATCATAAAGAAAAAGTGGCTACTAAGTTCTTAGAATCTACCGACCACTGGCTACTAAATGAAATTTTAAATTTTCAGGTCAATTACTAGGTATTGAGAACTACTAGGTATTGAGAAAAATTTAATGATGCTTTTTAATTCCATGTGATTACTGAAATAAAATATGAGCTACGAATAAAAAAATCCAGTATGAGCTCAGAAAAAATCAGTTCAACGTTAATAAATTTTTTAAAGCTCAGGGACTATGAACTAAATACAGGTTATGTTGAACTTATAATGTAAAAAAAAAAATTCAAAAAAAAAAAAATTTATTATTATTTTTTTTAATGATATTCAAGCAGCACTTTATTTTACTTTTTCGCTTTTGTGTTAATTGTCCTACGATGTTCATATGCCCAGTATTTTACTTAATAATTCGAGTTATTATTATTATTAATGGAAAAAAAATTATTTTTACCTTGATCTGGTGTTAAGGGACCGTCATTCTTTACCAGATCCGTTCTGGTACGACCGGGGTGAACCTGAAAATAAATAATATTATTAATTTGAATTATAATAAGTAGATTGGTTTGAGTTTCATTAGGTTACCATGCTGTAATTTATAAATTTAATTGTTTTTACTATTGTTCCCAATTATTATAGTCTTATAGAATAGGCGTTTCAAGGTTATACGTTACATTGGTATTTACAAATCTCCCTTTTTCCCCACGCTAGTGCGTCATTACAATAATATTATAACAATATACAGTTATGTGTTACAGGTATAAATACTCCTTAACTGCCGTGTGAATAAAAATAGTTGCGTTGTTGCTTGCCACATCGCTACCAAGGCGACGAAGGTAGAAAATGTGACCTTGAGACGCCAATTTTAATAATAAGAAACAATTAATTAGCCCAATGTATAACAATGTAGTTATTATACCCAAGTATAGTTTTTTTTCTTGCTCTTGCTGAGAATAATAAAATACAGGGTGTTCTGAAATGAGTCCCTTAATATTTTTTTTTTCGATTAAGAAAGTATAAAAATTAGGGGTCAAAAATAAATACATACTCAAGCGGTAACAAAAATGTTACCGTAACCTGTCAAAGCAAAAGTGAGGAAAATTATCAAAACAGGTACAATCGCATGGTAGGACTAGAACGCGTTTCTAACGATCAATTTCGAGCTCTTTTCTGCTTTCTCCAGCAATTACACAGGTTTTGATGCTTTTAGTCTCGCCTTCCCCAGGAGTGATCTCTCGATCATGCTTTTGTTTATTCTTCGCTTAATCTTTAGTTTGGGATCCCTAATGTAAAAGAGTGTTCGACAAGGATTCCAGAAATATACATTAAGGGCGCTGATTATGGAATATCTTGTACATTAATCAATTATGGAGTTAGAAAAACTTACTGCGTTCACGATGATGTCCTGTTCTGGATGTTCCATGAAGCGTCGATGCTGAATAAAAGTCAGAGCGGTAATTGCTATCTTCGATATTTGATAAGAAATGCTTCCCCAGCCGTTTTCTTCATACACTCCATTCTTAACGTCTCTAACATAAAACATTTATACCGATTAATGATTTCGAACAAAAAAAATGCTGTACTGATCATATTAGTAGGTAAGGCATAAGGAAACTTCCTTTATTTTAACGTTAATGCAAGAAAAAATGTTGACACACAGAATAAAATAATTATAACGGACTTAGTTTTGATATTCAAAATCGAGCAGTTTTAATGAGTATGAGTTTGCCACGGAGAACACTCCGCATTTGTTAGAACAGTTCAAACCGTTGCCGTACTTGAAGAGTTGAAAAAGTTCAATTTCATTTTAAACAGAAGAGTGGAGATGTCTCCTCCTTCTCTTTCTTTTGTAAATAAACGATTTACTGCAAAATAAAATATTTTATGAGCAAACACCTTTTTTTTTTCGTAGTGTGAAATATTTCCTCGTGCTGAGCTGAATGTTTTTATTATTGTCACATATCTTGCAGATAACACCGGATTTCCATGCAGGCAATATCTAGCACTTATCTAGCGGCATTCCGAGAAACCTGTAAAGTACCTACCCGAAAACAATAGTAAGAATTAGTTTGATGTAAAAATGTTACCTGTACAAAAAATGTAGTTTATCATAGAGGTCTTAGCCTCTACGTATAATTTATTTCTTTTATTTTAGAACCGTCGTTTAACACCTAACCCTATTCTGAGTTTACGACTATCAACGTTCAACTCCGCATTTTGAATCCAACCCAGAAGACAAGGAAAATACCGGATCAAGCATTGAGACAAATAAGCCATCGTAGAAGACGTTTCTAACAGGGCAAACGAGCATTTGCGTTACATGCAGAGGAAAGCGAGGAAAACTCCCCACGGTTAACTCGGCGGCAAGGGGATTCTAGCCCATGATCCATCTACTACTGAGGGTATAATACGTCAGCACTGTATCAGGTTTAACCCGAGAGCTGAATTTGTATCAACCAGTCGCCGTCGGGATTCGAATCTGGGTCACATTTTTGGGAGGCGAACGCTCTATCGCTAGAGTCACCATTGCTCTGTTGATCCGTTCATACCGTTCTGGGGATCCGTTCAGTCACCATTGATCCGTTCATACGTTTGAACCACATTTTATTAAAAACGTTTCGTGTCTTACCTGAATAAAATTTGATTTAAAAATTGGTAAATATTTTTGGCCTATGCCCCTAAACTAGTCTAATTCATCAACTCACTTAATATATTCTTCCATCAAGACGTAAATATCTTCCTCTGTGTCCGCAGCTAAGAACTTAGCTCGAAGTACATCATTGGATATATTTGACAGTTGACCTGTTGAACTGCTCAGGTTTACTATCCTAAAAATACAAAGTTCAAAATGCGTGTTAAGTTCAATATTCATCTTTTACCAGGGGAAAAAAAATCTGAAATTGTATAGATTTTCTTAAAATTTAAGTTTAATGTGTTGCCTTAAAGGCGTTCAAAATGAAAAAGGTTTTTGAGGGATTAAAAACTTTTTTTTAATCTCTCAACAGATTTTTAATATTTAACAGTTTTTTTTTCTATTTTTACCGAGTTATAAGATTATGAATCGGTAAAGGTCCTTACATAAGTATGTAGTTATCGCTGACCTTTGCTTTTTCTCGTAATAGAATTTTTCAATATTCTCACAACTTCAAAAAGTTCCTCACGTACCTTACGTACTTTCTTTACGCTTCTTTTCTTACGTACCTTCCTTAAGTTCCTTATGTACTTTTAATTGTTATTGAAAATGTTTCGGTACTCTTCGATAGGTCTTGTTTAATTCTAAATGCATTTGATTTACTCAATATTTTAAAATAACTTTTTAATAATTGAACAAACATAAAAGCAGTGTGTTTTTTTGAAAAAAATGTTTGGTGACAAAATAAAAATTTGATGCTTAGTTACGTTGCATTGTTATACGGTTGCCATAATCACTTAAATTTATTTAAAAACCGATAAACAACGTATTTAAGTAAAAATTCAAACTCGTTTGCTAGGAACTTTTTAATTACCAACAAATAAAAACCATACTTTTAGTTATAACTTTAATACTAATTATTATTTTTTTCTAAAACTTTGTAGGCTGACTTTTACTAATGCTAACAGTATTTTGCTAAATATTGAAAATGATCAAATAAATTTTTTTTTTGTTTCGAAAGAACGATTTGACGCACTGAAGGTTTTGCTCAAAGAAATGAAACTTAAAATTTTTTTTCGCTTTGAGATTTTTATATATCCTTCTGATAGTCTTGACTAATTTCGATTCTCTTAAAACACAATAAGTAACTTTGTGACACTTAAAAAAGATTAGTCAAATAGTTTTCAAAAAATAATTTTAATTAATTTATTTTTTTAACAAAAAATCCAATAGTTTCAAATCATCGTATCGTATACGAGATCTACAGTATTACTGAATTAAATCATTATGCAACCTACTCAATATTTACATGGGAGCAAAATGGCCAGAGAGCGAAATCTTAGAGAAAAATGAAATATTTTGAAGTACAGTCGGACCTCTATTTAACGAACTCTCTAAAACACGATAAAAAAAAGTTCGTTATATGGAGAATTCATTAAATAGAAAACCACCATTTGAAATACTTAAACAACACAAAACAGGTTTTTAAATCCATAAACACTAGACATAATTAAAATAGCAATCGATACACCTTTATTTTGTAAATTATTATTTACGATCGAATTGTTTCAAATGATTTTAAAATTTTATCATATGAAGGTTTCGTGATTTCTACATCATTTCTGTCTTCGTCTTCCTCACAATTTACTGCTGCATTGTTCTTATTTTTCACACTGTCCAAAATATCCGATTCAGTTAATGTTCCAAATTCTCCGCGCTGATTAAGAATCCAGCTTTAGCCAAACTGTTAGGAATAGTACGATCTGTAGCATCATAGTTCCATGCTTTAGAAATTTCTGTCATGTTTTCTCGTAAATTGATTTTTGGCGTGGATTCCTGCATGAAATGCCAACGAAAAGGAAAAAGGATTTTACAGCTTTCTCTGAAAGTTAAGTGGCTGCGAAAATCAATTCAAGGTCATTTCCCCCATAACAAGTTTGAAATGTTCCGAATTATTTCGGGAAATAGGGGAAGTGGATCTTAAAGAAAAGTTCGTTAAATAGAAAATTCACTTCGCTATTCGAAAGTTATTCTACGAAGAAATTTCCAAAATGTTCTTGGTTCACCAAAAAAAATCACCTGGTAAAAATCACCAAATAGAGTAGGGGGAGATTTCCGTATCGTGATCTGTGGTAGAATAATCGCCAAATCTTAACAACTTCCAAGCAACGACCCGCAAAAAACTTTAAAAAAAAAAAAAAAAAAAGTCACAGAAAGAGGCCAACTCGAAAGGTATAACTCGTAGTCACCCAGGGCAAACATCTACATGTTTTTTTTTTTTTTAAATTTGCAAATTTAAAATCTATTTGGCATCTTGGCGACTGTAGTTGGCGTGATACAGATCAAGATACGCAAATATCCCCTAGAGAAGTTTGTTAAATAGAAGTCCAAATATACTTTCATTACGTTTTTTAACGACCGTTAAAAAATTATTGTAAAACGTTTACCTTGCATGTTGTCTTAGCAGAGGAAACATCTCTTTGCAAACATTTATAGTCCCGAAAACATTTACATTGATTGTTTTTGTTGCTTGCTCGAGCATGGGTGTTGAATCCCCTGGCTGAAAATCATAGAACTAAATGAATTTCAAGAGAATTATTTCAGATTCATTGAAGAAAATAATAAAATATAATGAAGAGAGTCATGTGATATAGTGTTTTCTTCTTCTTTTTAATTGTTTAATGATAAAAGTTCATCAAATTTTATGTCAGCACTGTGATCTGAGTGAGCCGAGTGTGGAATTCGAATTGACCTGCCATTTCTGGGATTCGAATCCTTTCGCTTCATTGGAAGGCGAGCACTCTATCGCCTGAGCAACCACGGCTCCGAATGAATCTATTTTTATTTTATCCATCGTTGAACAGCTGCCCCATTTTGGGGTTTACGACTACTTATGTTCAACTCCGTAGCCTTGTAATTTTGAACCAATCCAGAAGACAAGGAAACTCCTGGATCAGTACCCCCAGAGGCATTGATTTGTTATTGGAACATAGAGGACTTCACGACTCGACAGATTTAACGTGCATCAACTACCCTTTACTACACGAGGAGTCTTCGGCCGGCTGGGATCGAACCCGCGAACTCTTGGACATGGGCCCAGTGCCCTACCAACCAGGCTATCCCGGCCTTCGAATGAATATATTTTATTTTATTTTATTATAACCGTCGTTGAGCAGCCGACCCAATTTTTTGTGTGTACGACTACTAATGTTCAACTACGTAGACTTATAATTTTAAACCCAACGCAGAAGACAAGGGAACTCCTGGATCGAGTATTGGGAGAAATTTGCCTTCGTGGAGGACNTAGCGTTGACGGCAAGGGGACTCTAACCCATGATCCGTCTACCACTGAGGATATTTCGCGTCAGCACTGTGGTCTGTGCAAGCCTGATATATCGACTGGGATTCAAACCCGGTTCGCCTCATTGAAAGGCGAACGCTCTATCCCCTGAGCCATCGCGGCTCCTCGAATGAATATATTGAAGATAACAAATATCATAGTTGTATTATAATGTCCACTTACCAAGTAACCTATTGCAGCATTGTTTACCAAAATATCCAAACCGCCATATTCATGTTTCAGAAAAGAGGCCAATCTTTTGATACTTTTTGCACAAGTTATATCAAGCAAGTGAAACTTAGGATACAAGTTATCAGCTTCAAGAGTTTTCACCGCTGTCCATCCGCGAGATTCATCTCTTGCTGAAATGATTGCAGCATTTCTTGAATCATGAACTTAAGAGGACGCCATAAAACGGGAGATTCTTTTCGACACAAATTCTCTTTCATCTTCATTACTAACTTAATATTTAAGAAGGGGAAAAGTGAGTCCAGGCAAACCTAGACTAAGCCATGAAGTTTCATTTGCTGAAATTTTTTTCTTCAAAATACAAACAAATTATTAATTATTGGAAGAGAACTTCGTCATTGCATATTCTAAGTTATCTTATTTTCATTTTGATATTATAAAAATTTCTTTACAGTATTCGAGACTTCATGGCTTACTCTGGGTTTGTGTGAACTCACTTTTTCTATACTAAATTTTAAATTAGATACGAAGGTGAAAGAGAATTAGGGACGAAAAGTTTCTCCCGTGTTATGGCGTCTTCTTCGATGAAGAGGTAGAGGAGCTATCAATACCACAGTTGGGAGTGGAGAAGGGGTAACAAAAATATGGCATCACATATTTTAGTTGAAATTAAAACATTTAAAATCAGCATTTAAAATGTTTCTAGAATAATTTTTTCATCTTTCATACTCTTTAATGAAGATAATTTTACATAATATATTCTCTCACTAATTTTCTTTTTTAAATCGATGCTATACATAAAATATACTATAGGAAGGAGGACATAAATTTTTAATATTCTAACAATGTATCTACTTCAGCTAAACTAATTACTGCAAGAATCACAATTTGAAAAAAAATTGGAGATGATTGGTTTTTTTCTGGACACATCGATTCATTTAAAGTCACCCCCTCAAACCATTAAGATTGAGCCCCGGTGCGTGAAAATCCGATCATAAGATCAAAAGTTATCAAGAGGTGTTTCATTTATTTTCTACGCCCTACGCATAACATCACCAAATTTACACAAAAAAAAAGTTTTCAAAATATTGTTTAAAACTTCAAAAAATGGTGCTGTTTCCCATCCACGTAAAAGAAATTTGAAACAAGAAAATAAATAAATAGCAAGTAATTTTGTTGTTGTGGTTACTAGCGTCTCTTGCCAATATCTGCAATCCTGCTATGGGAATACAAACGAATTTTTAAGGCAGAGGGTGCGCTTCTTGTTTTTCAGTGGCGCCATCTATTGCCAAGAATATGACTTCAGCCACAAATAAGCCAGAGCTCATTTTACAGGGAGGGTGTATTCATACTCCATTCATCCACAGATCGTAATTTTGACCTAAACCAGAGAACGATCATTCCAGAACTCAGTACCCCCCAGAGATATTGATTTGTTATGAAAAATTTGGATAACTTAGTGACCCTGACAGACTTCAACGTGCACCAGTCACTATTTTGTACACAGGGTGTCTTCGACCGGCGGGGATCGAACTCACGAACACCCTACCAGCCAGCAAATCTCGGCATCAACAATTAATTTTAAAAATATTTATTTACTGAAAGATTCCAGCGTATTTTTAACATATAAACTTTTTAGCAAATACTTAAGGTTTTAACTTCACTTGTTCTACGTGTTTTGAATAGAAAGTCACACGAAACTAAGCAGACAGCATTGGATTATCAGATTAAAGCAGAAAAGCAGCTGATGCGATTTGATAAAATTTATTACCGTTGAGAAAGAAGAGAATAATTCGTTGAAATTCCAGAGGATTGTGCTTTTGGTATATGAATATGATTATGAAGGACTATAAGAGATGCTTCTTAAACAAAGTACTCAAATAATCAAAGTTAATGAATGGAAATTAAAAGTATCTTTACAGTAAACATTTCTATTGTGCTAACTGCTCAGCGGGGTAGAAAGGAAATTATATTTTAAAAGTGCGGATTTATTTTAGATATTATAAATATTTAAATAACGCGCGAAAGAAGTAAAAATTAAGTTGTGGTTTAAGTCTTTAGTCGTAAATAGCTTTCATTTTATGCTTGAAAATGTCACCGAAATAAATTTTTATAACTCAGATTTATTTTAGAAATGAAATTAAATATAATGCAAGAAAAAAATGGTATAAACTTTGGATTTTATAAGCATCGACATTGAATTAAAGTTTAATACGTTCAACACAGCACACAGGTGAAAACTAAATTTTTATAAAAATGAAATATTTCAAAAATAAAATAAGCAACATCACATTTGTAGCAAAAATTGCACAATAATTTAAACGCTTGATTCTATAATCACTAAAATTTAATTTATATTTAAACAGATAAGCAAAATTAAAATTCATGAAATCAGGTTGGTTTTGAGATTAAAAATGCGACTAATACGTAAAATGCAAAAATCACAGAATTGGTACAATTTCTGATTTTAAAATAATTAACATTGAACGCAATTTTAAATAAGTTCAATGCATAGAGTAGGTTAAAATTAAATTTAAGTAAAGCAGATTTATTTCAAAGATTAAATACGCAAATATCACATTTGGAGTATGGTATAATTTGAATCTTTGATCTTATAATCGTTACAATTTATCTTGCTTATAAACAGATAAGCAAAATTAAAATTTGAAGCAGATTTATTTTAGAGGTTTAAAATGCGATTGTTACGTAAAATGCAAAAATTACAGTATTGGTACAATTTCTGATTTTAAAAATATTGACATTAAATTTAATTTTAACTAAGCATATCATAGGTGGAAATTAGGTATTAATAAAGCAATTATTTCAAAGATTAAATACGCAAATATCTTATTTGGAGCAAAAATTACGGCAATAGTTTAAATCTTTGATTCTATAATAATCATTAGAATTTAACTTGTTTTCCTAAAACTTGATAAAGGAGATTTATTTTAAAGGTTGAAGATGGGACTATGATATTAAATTGCAAACATTGCAGTATTGGTACTATTTCGATTTTAATATCATTGACATTGAACTTAATTTTAATTTAGTTCAATGCATGACAAAGGGGAAAATTAAATTTTAATAATGTAGATTTATTACAAAGATTATAAATGTGCAAATATCACGTACGATGTAAAAACTCTAGTAGTGATTTATTTTTTATGATTTATGATCACCGGTATCGAACTTGCTTTTAAATAAATAAAACAATTAAAATTTAAAAAAAGCAAATTCATTTTGGAGATTATGTGGGGAGAACATGAATGATTAAAGAATGGGTAATGTACTGATATAGATATGATATTTGACATCATAATTTTTTGAATTTAATTTAAAAAAAAGTCATAATCATGTAGGCTTAATGGAATTTTAAGGCTTAATTCATAAGAACGTTGTGACAAAAAAAGAAGATGAAAAAAAGGTTTTAAGTATAAAAATTACCTGTTAATATGACATCCCCATCAAATTTCGAACAAAGCGCCTTTACAGTCGCAAATCCTATACCCTTGTTACTTCCAGTTACCTGGCGATAAAAATAAAAATCAATTATTTGAAAGAAGAAAAAAAAAAATTAGTTTGAAATAAAGCATTTGGATTATTACAAGTGCCGCCATCATAGGTAAATCAAGAGCCCCTGAATTAGATATACTATTTATATCCACTATAATTATTTAATAATATAATTACCCAATATAATTTTTAAATGTCTGACTCTTTTGAAATTCAGTTTCTCATGAACCATTCAATCGATTTTGCTCAAATTTTATATATTGCCATGTAGAATTATATTCTTTAAAATGATTCAAAACAATGTATATCTTATAATTCAAAATTTTTTTGACCATTATTAAGTAAAAGAACATAAAATAATAAATATTCAATAAAGGTTATTCTTCGCATGGAATTNATTGTGATTGATCATCCCCATGCCCATGAAAAGGGGGAAGCAGAGACATTCGGTGAAACACCCCTGACACGTATAATTCACCAATATAATTTTTAAATATCTGACTTATTTAAAATTCAATTTCTCAAAAAATATTCAACCGATTTTGCTCAAATTTTATATATTGCCATGTAGAATTATATTCTTTAAAATGATACAAAACGATGTATATCTTATAATTCAAAATTTTTTCTACTATTATTAAATAAAAGAACATAAAATAATAAATATTCAATAAAGGTTATTCTTCGCATGGAATTATTTTTGGACAAACGAATTTTATTATTGCTTTAAAAAAAATTTGCTTAAAAAGTTTTCGAGACATAGTGAAATACGCAAAAAGTAAAATTAATCAAAACTTTGGACCGCCCTTTGACCAAACTATTGGTACCATATTTCCCGAATTGCAGTTACTCCTATATCTTGGGGTTCAGAAATTCGAATCCGTTGAAAAAAAGATATGATTATTCAGAGAAAGTACGCTTTTGAGTCTGATTTCCTAACTTAAAATATCGTCTGCACTTAATAATTAGTACATTTCAGGTCACCTTCTCGAGTCATTAAGATTGAGTCCTAGAACCTGAAAATCAGATCATTAGGATCAAGAGTTATTCAGGGTGGTACAGATTAAAATGTTATTGATGTTTAGTTAATTTTGGTAATAATTACTAATTGAAATTAAAAAAAGCCACATTAAAAAAATATTAAATCATAATACTTCAATGCAATAAATATATAAATAATACAATAAATGTTACTAATCCGTTTCAGAGGAGCGTAAAAATTCGCCAAACTATTATTGTCGCCAATCACGATTAATTAATTATGGGAATAAGTACTAACTGAAATAAAAAACATGGCTGTATACCCTAAGCTGTAAAGTAAAATGTATAGAAAAATGGAACTAATTCGTTTAGGAAAAATGTACAAAATTTGGCATATTATTATAGACGCCAATAATGCTTAATTACTTTTGGTAATTGGCCCTATGGTAATTAGTGCAATTTTAATAGGTATTAATTGTTTAAATATAGGTACAGCGTATTAAGTTAGTATATTTCATACCTATTAAAAGTGCATCAATACTTAATTAAAAAATATTGTCATTAAATACTTCTTTTTTCTGTAATTTATCAGTTTTTATTTATAATTGATTTATATTATCAGTTTTTATTTTTAACCAGCAACGTTTCACTAAAACAAGGATAAAACAAAATCCAGAAATTTTTTTTCTTGCTTCAGAATAATTGAACATTTACAATTCATTTAAAAAAACACAATGTGTTTATTTACCATTTGTAGAAATATAAAATACGTTACTTTAAAGGCGAAAAAAGAAAACAATTGCTACTTACAACAGCGACTTTTTTCGGCATATTGTCCTGAAAGCGTATCAGCGAAATAATGATAGAAAGTTTGCTTCATAAAAACATTCGACTGCTAAACGTTTATAAACGTCTCATTGATCCAATATTCATGAAATCCTACAGAATCGAATCTGTATGATTTATGATAATTACTTATCATTCAGACAACATTCAAATTTTTGATTTATACCCGGATATGAAAAGAAATATAAAGATCAATACGTTTAATAATAAGCAGGGTCATCTCACTTAACTAGTATGATCTTTTGTGTACATTCATTGTACGATTAATATTATGATGAACGTTATCTTTTTATTGCAGTTTTGATGTAATGAATTATTAAAATCTGTCTGCACTATTGTTTTAACTGAGTCGGGTATTTCTAGTCATTTATTGTGAGAAAACTGATTAAAAGCTGATTTTGAAATCTTATTTATACAGACGCCTCTTTCTGCTGCTCATCGCAATTGGGGCAGTTTAAACCCTATACTATGTGTGATTAACGTTATTATGCTATCAGATATAACTAGAGTTGCAATGCGTGGAAAAAATCTGAATATCATTCCCGAGAATAAACAAGTTCTTTTTTTTTGGGGGGGGGGGGGGGGAATCTNTTTTTTTGGGGGGGGGGGAGAGGAAATTTAGAGAATCGCTGGTTTTTTATTTCCAAAAGTTTAAATTAGAATTTAAAATCAACGAATTTTTTATTTTATTTTTTATTTTATTTTTTGCGAAAGTAGAAGTCTTTTGCAAAAAGCAATAATATTAATGGGTTTAATTTATTTTTTGTTAGACTTGTTAACTTTTTGCTTAACACTATGACGAAAATGGGGTACGCTAGATTATCGAATTCTGATTACACTAAAATATAAAACCCAAATATATCTTTTTTTAAAATTCATATTCAAAAATGTATAAATATGTATAAAAATTTCAATGATGAATAACTGTTTATTTTAGATCTAAATGACTACAAATTGATAAAATTATTGCTTGGAAGTATGCCGTGTTAAGAAGATTTTACGTTTAATGCAGAATTCAATAACACATGTGTTAAACAGTATTTAAACACTATATGTATTAAAATACGTATATATATGTACTATATGTATTACATACGTGTATATGTATTAAAATACTGTATGTAATATTCTTTACTTATTTGACATAAATTAATGAAAAATAACTAAAAATATGCCATAAAAATTCTTCATAAAGGTTTAATCTTTGATTATATAGAAAGAAAAATAACAATAATTTAACTGAAGTATTAGGAAAAAAAGAAATACATTGAAAACCATGCCAATTGTATTGAATTATATCTAGCTGAAGTAGATCAAATACAAATGATACCTATCATCTTTTTTATGGTACAGGTGTTATATAGCATATATTCTTTTATATTGAAACTAAGCTAGTTTTGTTAAACATCAAATTCTAGAGTTTGTTACTGTCTTTCAAAAACTGTTGGTTTTTTGCTTCATTAAATAATTCATTTTTCTACATCTTTATACTTTTTGGATAATGAAGACTTTTTCCATTACCTTAAGAATATTTTATTTTACAACCGATGTTATTCTGAGTTTCCGATTACTAATGTTCAATTCAGTAGCCTCGTAATTTTGAACTCGATCCAGAAGACAAGGGGACTCCTGATCAAGTACTGGGGGGAATTAGATTTTTGATGCAACTCACCCGCATTATCACTCTAGTGCTCTAAGCTCTTTATACGTATAAGTTATTTTATTTTATAATCAGTGCTGAACAGTCGACCTAATTCTGAGTTTACGACTATTAATGTTCAACTCCGTATTTTGAATCCAACCCAGAAGACAAGGAAAATACTGGATCAAGTATTGAGACAAACTAGCCTTCGTTGAGGACTTTTTGATTGGATCAACACACATTTGCGTTACATGAAGAAGAGAATCTCTCTCGGTTAGCCTGACGGCAAGGGGGCTCGAACCCATGATCCGTCTACCACCGTCACATATCTTATAAAATATGGGGTTTTGTTTCTATGCAATTAAATGTATGGCAATTCTTTGCTGGCAGACTAACAGTACTCGTTCGTTTCGCATATTATTTTAAGTAATTATACTTAAAGTGTCTAAATCCAAAATTTGCACAAAATTCTTAGCATAATCCTTGAGGAATGGATTTTTATTTCACTGTTTTAGGAACAAAACTTATAGATCATTTTTCAGCCAGAAGCCGATACGTTAAAAATTTGGTCAGGCCTTCGAAATTCATTCAAAGATGACAATAGTTCTCTAAAAAAATGTTACTCGAATTTATACTTTATCTTCGCAATGATTGAAAACAGTAAAAAACTTACCACAGCTACTTTCTTAGACATGACATTGCTACAAATTAAATCAAGTTCTCCGCCTCCCTGATTACTTTTATTAACATTCTTTTATGGATGACAATTCGTTTCTTTCGATATTTGCACAGGTTTCATGAAAATCAATCATGCATAATTATGTTTAATATCGAGAAGAAAAGAAAGAGCGAAGCTTCATCAATATGAATCATTCTACCAAATTCCAGAGAAGTTAATGCATTTTCTTTTTACTTTTTAAAATATTTTAAACCATGAACCACTTTCTTATTTTAAAAAAGTCAATTCTCATTTTGAAAAATTGAGTATCATAAAACCAAATATGTATTGAGATACCTTAATAAAATTTCTTTAATTAACGGTGTGAAGCATTTTTCTCTGCGAATTAAAGTTCAGGAAGCAAAATAAGAAAGAAAATTCCTCGAGTACTTTTGTTTAAATTAATTGTTTTACCATGATTCTGAAACGAAAATCGTCAAGAACATGCCAAATCAGCGATGTTCAGTGTGTAAAATAACAAACGGACCACCCAGAATAACTTTTGATCTAATGTTCGAATCTTCGCGTCCTAGGACTAAATTTAATGATTCGAGGGGTGACATGAAATATGGTAATTAATTACTACAGATAATATTTTAAGTCGCGAAATCAGACAGAAAAACGTACTTTCTCTGATTAAGCATGCAATTTTCTTAATGGATTCAGATTTCTGACCCCCAAAATATATGGTCCCCATAGTTTGATCAGAAGAGAGGTCCAAAATTTGGAATATTAATTTTATTTTTTGCATATTTCGCCATATCTTGAGACCTTTTTAAGTGAATTATAAAATGTATTTATCCAAAATATAACTTTTGGTAAATATTTATTATTTTATTTAACAATGCTCGAAAAAATTTTAAATTGTAAGGTATAAAAATTTTTACACCATTTTAAAGGATGCAGTTTTGCATGGCAAAATTCAAAGTTTTAGCGAAATCGGTGGAATAGTTTCTGAAAAATTGAATTTTAAGTATGTGACTTTTTTGAAATGCAATTTTTCAGGAACATTGGAGCAAAATTTGATGAAAATCGGTCGAAATGTTGCTGAAAAATTAAAAACGACTTTCTAAATATGATTCTAAAATTACTTATGTAATATGGGCACACATGTAATATTATCCATATTTAATTAAAATTAAATTGTAAACTGGTATCTATTATTTAATTGTTTTAGGATATAAAGAATCTGTACACAAACTCATTGTAATAGTTCATTTATTAAAAAAATAAAAATAATTAAGTACAAATGCATAATTATAATTTCATTTGGCTTGAAGAATTTATAATTCTAAAAATGCAACGAGAATTTCTGAACATCGACTTGCAGCTTTATCCAGTTATTCAGATTTTCCATCTTATACTTTCATCTGAAACGAAATACTGAATGAAATACTAGTTTACATCAGTAACAAATAAAAAGAAAATACAATTATTAAATATCATTTACCATTATAACATTATTCTGCTATTAACATTAACCTTAGATAACTAAACTTAAATCTTTTTAGCTATTTTTTCGACAAACAGATCATTTGACGATTACTTTTTATATTTCCTTAATTCATGTCAAATAATCATTTTATATTATAAGATTATTCTACTATTAACATTAACCTTAGATAACTAAATCATTTGACTGACAGACCATTTAACGATTAGTATTTTATATTTCCTTTATTTCTGCCAAACAAATTAGCAATAGTTTAAAGGACATTCCTTAAATTTTACTATTAATATATATATCAGTAACGTTTCAAATCTTCTAAAATGTTAAAACGTTACAATAACATCTAAACTAGTCTATGTTATGTATAGGTATAGACTATGTTTATGTATAGGTTACACACACAATTCAATTATTTAGATAATGCGTCAAAGCAGAACTAATGTGCAACAATGCTGTTCTACAATAGTTATGCTTTGACACATTATAAATTTAGATAATTCAAATTAGCAAGACACGTACAATATGCAATAATGCATATTTGAGCATGCCTTGCTGCTTTTTAGAATAAGGACTTTCCCTAAAAAGAGTATTCTGTACCACATCAGAATAAAGTAAAAGTATAAATTATAGTATAAATTATCCGTTCCCATCCAAAATATGCAAAACAGTTGGCTTTTATTTCCAAAATCAATTTAATGCAAATCAATATTTATCTTTATTAGAAGTAAATTTCACTTTCTTTTTATTTCATTATATCCATGTTTTTTTTTTTTGTTAATACATTCAATAATTATTATATTTCTTAAAACAAAAATTTTCCTTTTTCCAATTTAATTTTCATAAGCACTTCATACAATATTATAATATTAAGTATTTCAATACCCTAAAAAACACACAGAAAATATTAAAAGGATATACACAACCCACAATAAAATAAAAAAATTTTTAAACTATTTTATAATAAGTATCATAGTGATCACCACCAAAGCAAGGCTGCCAACTACTACGCCTTTAGGAAAATATTTTATGGAAAGTAGAAAAGTGAACGATAAAGCTTACCGAATTTTTGGTAGTTTTGCCAACATTTTAGACGCCTCACCACCAGAGAGTCGGATCAATGTGACTTTTTATATAAGCTTCCAAATCATTTAAAAGTAGCGGTAGAAAAAGTAACTTTAAATCAAATATATAAAAGATAGAAGAGGTACATTAAAGTATAAACTTAGTTACCACTAGAAATTTTTTTTTCAAGAAGTGTAGAAAGTTGGCGGGACTACCAATGTTGTTAACCACCATGCAATTCAGCCATGGTTTCCATGACCAGTGGCATTCTAAATTGGGTGACTCATGACAAGAGGGGTAGCTAGGCTTTACAGTGCCTGGGGATAAATTCAGGTTTTGCAGCCACTTGCATTATGATGTGAAACTTATAGGGGCCACTTTAAAATGATTATGTAACCGCACTTGGTATTGGATTGTGAAATTTTACAATAAGATTTTATTTTTTTTAAAACAGCAGAACTTGATAACTTAATTTTCCAGTCAGTTTAAAATTTAATGATTTAAGTTACTTGCGCAGTTTCGATTCCACTTAAATGCTTTTGATCACGCCAATTATGTTTTATTAAACAATA